TACAGAACACTAAATGATCAACCTTGATTCCTCACAGCAGTATTACAAGTACAGAACACTAAATGATCAACCTTGTGTTCCTCACAGCAGTATTACAAGTACAGAACACTAAATGATCAACCTTGTGTTCCTCACAGCAGTATTACAAGTACAGAACACTAAATGATCAACCTTGATTCCTCACAGCAGTATTACAAGTACAGAACACTAAATGATCAACCTTGTGTTCCTCACAGCAGTATTACAAGTACAGACGTTGTTAGTGAACTTAAGGAAACTTTTCCATTATTCTGAATTCTAGTATTTAACATAAAAATCACAGTAAAATTAAAAACAAAAGTCCCACGAAGGTTAAGTTGTACGATTGAGAGATTAAAGACTGATAATCAACTCAATCAGACAAGGCTTCCCAAGAATTTTAGAGGAGATCAAGTTAACAATGATTCACAATAAGTTGCAAACAATGATTTATAAGCATAATAAAGTGATTTATTTATGGTGGAACATACTACACGTTTACACAGTACACTGGTTTGTTTTCTTCAGGTACGATCTGTAACTAAGCAATATAAGTACAAAAACAAAGACATAGAGGGTTCAATTTCCAGGTGACAAGGTTATAGACAAAGGCGAAGTGTATGAGCAGTGAATAAACTTAGATAAGTATGGCCATTTTCATGGTTTAGTGAGAGATCATTGCTTTGATATTTCGATAATTTCGAAACAATCTGTTTCATTTTTACTTTTGGGTTGGTGTAGGAGACAAGTTTCATCCCAAATTATTTTGTGACCTTTTTCAAATTGATGACATATTAAAGCAGATATTTGGAATTCACCTCTATGTATGTGACTTTTGTGTTCTTTGCATTTTATTTCCAAGGAATGTAACATTTGTCTTATATATTTATTTCCACATTTGCATGGGATACTGTGAAGAATAAAGATACTTTTTTTCCACCATACATTTTGCATCACCTGTAGAATCTCTGAAATGTATTTCTACACTTTTTTCATTATAGTTGTACAGTGTATCTGGTATTTACTTTACCATGAATTGTCATTATATCAGCAATATAGTGTAAAATTAATAGTTCTTAACTCTGACATCAAACACATAATGCCATGTGCAATGGCACTCTGTAAAAGTTTGTGACATGCACACTTTGACCCTCACCCGTACATATAGGGTTAAACTGATACTTACCGGGTAATATTTTTGTTAAAAACAAAATAAAGGAGAGATTTAAAATCTTAATATCACTCAACATAACATAATGTTTATGGAAAATAAGGGACCTACTGATCCATCTCGGCTGTCCCATCC